TCATGTGGACACAATTCATGCCTACACGCAAATACGACATTAAGTTATAAACATATTTTGATTGGAGATGTATCAAACATACCCAGAAATAGTAACAAATATGAATTTAAAGTATTTCCTTCTCTTGCACTATACATCCAAGTATATTTGTTCTGAACTCCCTGCCAAGTTCAACTAAAGAGAATTCTCATCAAATATCTTTCTTATTGGAACGCTGAAAAAATGGCATTCCCAAACTCCGCATCGTTATGTTGAGACACAACGTTCTTATTGTAAAACCGATGAAAAACGCAATCAGTCTTCCAACTTGCAGCTTTCAGTATAGAGTTTATTGAAACATCACATTGCTTCGCATTACTGGTGGCTGCGGCTCGTTAACCATGTGGTTTAAACGCTTCTGTATCATGAAACAGAGACTTTGTCGTGGTGACAAACTTAAAGATGGATTTAATAATAGCAAATACCATGGTGAATAGTGATAATAACAATGTAATAGTTTTTGAAAGAACTGTTTTAACCAAAATACTAACCCAACAATTCAAAGGAACCGTTATTTACAGCTAGATGAGAACCTCCAAATCATGCTCTATTTATAATGTTACAGAATGTCAATGTCATCCCTATTTTTAGAGATGGCACTTAAAACAGAGACAGATTAAACACGTAATCCTTTTGTCGGCAAATGACAGGATTAATCGTGTAAATAATGGTTCCTTTGAACAGGTGGGTTAGTGTTCTGGTTAAAACAGTTCTTTTTTGAACTATTACATTGTTATTGTCACCATTCACCATGGTATTTGCTGTTTCTGTATCAATACCTGCAGCTTGCATGACAACCTTTATCCAACGAGATATAGATGACTTTGATACTTTATGAAAGTGACGAATTTTGCTAAGAAATAGTTGATTTTCCTTACCCCGAATGGGAGCATTGCGTTCAAAATATTTTTCCATGACTGAGGCAACACATAGTCGGCGATCGGCAGGGAACTTTGATATCACTAAAGTAGGTTGAATGCGTGTTGGTCCAGACTGTTTGACAAGTTGGTCGATATAGAAGGTGTATGAGTCCTCTTCCTTCTTTACAGTTAAGAGGTTCATGAGGTGGAGTGATTGGGCACGCTGCCCTGTAACTAATGCACAGAGCATTACCAACTTATGAGTTAGCTGTTGTAGGGTTAAGTTTTCTACTGCGGGATATGTCTTTAAATACTCTAAAACAATGGAGGTGTCCCAGGTCACTTAATATCTTGGTAGTGCTGGTCTAGAATGGAACACTCCCTTCATAAATCTCTGAACCATATAATGTGTACCAATCGTAGAATTCCCTTCAGCAATAACGAATGAAGATAACATACTTCGAACAGTGTTTATGCAACTGTAACTCATCCCTTGATCAAATAGGTGCTGTAGAAAGTCTAGAACTACTTGTAAAGTTGGATGAAGGGAGTCTGCATTCCGTTGTTCTCTTGTTTGATTGGATGGTAAGCTCACGTTGCTTTTGTTTTTGGGTAGGAGAATGGGTCGGTGAATCATTAATCTTGCCAGCATCGGGGATCCCAGGATTGAGTTGGCCAATTCGGCACGATGAGAATTGTCCGTGCCTGGGCCATTTCTACTTTTTGTAAAACTTGTGATATAACAATAAAAGGTGGAAAAGCATCAAGAAACAATTTACTCCAATCAATGCAAAAAGCGTCAATAGCCCACGCCTGTGGATCTGGGTGCCACGAGACGTAGGGTTTAAATTGATAGTTTAGTCTAGAAGCAAACATGTCAACTTCTGGGGTCCCAAAAATATGCTGTTATTTCATGAAATAATTCAGCCTCAAGCTTCCATTCTTTGCAATCATCAAATGTTCTGGAAACATTGTCAGCCACCACATTCAGTTTCCCAGGAATATAGCTGACAGTTAGCCATATGTCCCTAATTCTGCACCACATCCATATTTTCCTTGCAATTTTATCGCAATGGTGAGAGTGGCAGCCCCCATGTGGTTAATATATGCAAGAGCAGGGCATTGTCAATCATTACTTTAATGTGGGTGTGGACTAGATCTCTACAGAGAGATTGTATCCCAAACAGTATTGCTTTGCGTTCCAGACAATTAATGTGCGAATCTTTTTCGGCGATTGACCATTCGCCTCCGGTGGACTGTTTGTTAGTACATGCGACCCACCTCTCGGTAGAGGCGTCCGTATACAATACGTGGTCAATCTCGCCGTGATTCAGATGTTTTTTTGGACTCATATGCATTATTAATCCACCAAGATACGTCCTCCAGCACCGAAGGAGAGAGTTTCAATGTTGAATAAAATTTACCCCTGTTAGACGCAAGAGCTGTTGTTTTGTCCCTATCAAGATCACGATAAAACAGTGGGCCATATTCAACGCCAGGAAAACAAGCTGCATCATACCAATTAACTTGGCCACTTCCCGTATGCTAGGAGGGTCAGATTTTAGTACCCCCCTGGCAACTCGCATAATTTGTTGTGTTTCTCTATGGATATAGAGATAGTCATATCTATTGAATTTAACACAAACCCTAAATTTTGTAAAATCTGTGTGGGTTCTGTAACAGATTTATCTTTATGGGGTAAGAATCCTAACTTCTGAAACAATTGTAGAGTATTATGTACGTTTTGCTCGCATTCTGAATAAGAGTAGCCCATTAAAAAAGAGTCATCAATGTAACCGCTAGAAATGTGCCCAAGCTCCCTCAGCTTAGAATATACAGGCTTGAGTATCTTTGTAAATAAACGTGGAGCGGAAGATAATCCTTGAGCAAGGTATGTGAATTGGTACAGATTACCTTTCCACATAAATTTTAAGTATTTTTGATGCTCTATGTGTATTGGTATTGAGTAGTAGGCATCTCTAAGGTCAACGGATGCCATGTAGCACCCAGGTCGCATGAGGTGAGTACAAGTATGGATTGATTCCATTTTAAAGTGGTGATATGTTACAAATGTGTTGAGCTCGTTTAGGTTTAATATCATTCTAAAAGATCCATCTTTCTTTGCTCTAAGAAAGATATTGGAGATAAACTCACCCTGTTCATGCATGCTTGTAACAATGATATCTTTCTCTAGAAATTTTGTAACTTGACGATCGACATTTTGGACTTCCGAAGGAGACATTTTTATAGAGTGGGGTTGTTTCAGCTGGACTGGGTCTGTAAGAAAATCAATCTTGTATCCGCTTACAGCTGATAAAATGGAAGGATCGTGAGTTAGCTCCCTCCACATCCCAATAAATTGTTGTATCCGGCCTGCAACTATACTACAATCATTGTCTCCCCCAGACATGACAGACGTACTACACCCATGTTTACTAGAACTTACACGGTCGAGAGTAGGAGTCTCTGCTTTCTTGGTGTTTTTCCCCCTGTCTCGACTTTCGTCTTGGGTTGCTTTTGATAATAGTTGTGTCGTTGGGGTAGGCTTTGCAATTGACAGCCCCGAGGTTGGAATAAAAAAGGCACATTGGAATTATATGAGCTGGTCGACCGTTGATCGTTGCGTTTCCGTTTTTGGCTTGTCAGTTGCTGTGCAGGCTTTTTGCTTTCTTTTACTGTTTTCGGGCGTTCCTTTAAATCATCACCAAACAGCTCTGCAGCAACAGATTCCTTGTTACTACAGATTGCCTTGTAATTTTCATCAAGGTCAACTTTGAACAAGTCCCTGCGGCACATGTTCAGATCATGATTAGCTGAAGCAAGAAGCACAATTGATTTGGACTGCCCATCCAAGATAACCTCTGGCTATTGACCAATGAAATAAGCGTTTTTGGCGTTCATAGACTCCTTTATCAGTCGAACCAGTCAAGCCACCCCGCTTATCAGTCGGTTATTCCAGGTCAATTAAAATTCAACTGATCTGGTTACCAACGAGATATTCAATGCATTAGTCATTAGTTTTCAATAAGAAATAAAGCTGGATTTTTATCACGAAGTAAATGCGATAATAAAGTAAGAATAATTAATGAATTTTTAATTAATATGAATAGGTAATTTTTGAATTTCAAACATCAGTCGCGCGACGGATTTGACATACTCTAGATCCGCCCCCGGTGCCATCAGGACACTGTAAATGCTTATCGTGTTTATATAATTTGACTTTTGCCCCCTTTTCTACGGCAGCATTTACTGAGAATATATTTTGATCGTAAGATGGAACATATAAGGCATTACTTAATAAGACATTCTGCGCATTTCTATGAAGTCAACTAATTTGACTTTAGCAGTACCTTTACCGACTACTACGTTGGCTTTACTGCCATCTGCTAATTCAATAACATGCGCTTTACTACCAAATTTACTATGAAAGTCTATAAATTTTGACTTATTGTTAATAATGGGGCTTGTAGCTCCTGTGTCCACCAGTAGAGTTAAATTCGCTTGATCCTTATCTTTTACGTCTGCTTTAGCGTTCTCTTCTTCATCCTTTGACACAAATAAAAAAGAGTGTTTCCGTTCACTGTCACAGCGCTGCTCGTCTTTAGCTGACTTGGATGTTTCTTTCGTCTTTCGGCAATCTTTCGTGTCGTGGTTGGCAGACCCTTTAAAACCATTGCAATGAGTAGTGCATCACTTATTATCTCCTCGGCTTCTCTTAAGGCTGTTGCTGATGGTTCCGCTCGCAATATATAATCTGTGACAGTCTCGTCGTCACTTTTCTTCATCGAAGTGAGTTCCGTGTAAAGAACGATGATTCGAGGTTTTCCTCTGCCTTGATAGTAATGTCTGAGGATTTCTAAAGCTCACCGTCCATTGTCTTTCGCCTCTTGAATCACAATCATAATTCTAGAATAATCTAAGTCTCCAGTGGGCAAGGAAGAACAAGTAATATTGTGATGCATGTCATGAACCACTTTACACCATATCATAGAACTTGTATGAGATCGTGGACAAGTATACTCGTAGACTCAAACTTGTAGACACAAAAATACAAATATAGCAATGACTAAGAGTACGGCTCATACTGCAATTCTGGGAGTATTAAAATATGAAAACATTTCATTAAAATCAATAATCAATCTACGTAACGTTATAACACGAAGAATGTACAAATCCGCAGGGTTTAAGTGGGAAGTTAAAAAATTGAAAGTACTCATGTTGTGATATATAATTCAAAAATTTCCAGCGCAGAAGCTGTTTTAGGGCCATTTCGCTAGCGACGGACGTGGTACAAATTTTTTGCCCCCACCCCCCACTCACAAAATCATGGCGACGCCACTACCAAAATGTAGCCAAATGCCTAAATGCAGGAAAACTAAAATGTCCAATTGCGTTGTTTTCAGCTGCCATCCTCGATATTCATTTACACGTACAAGTAAAACTGTAACTTTACGTAGCTATGTTTGATCTTCAACAATTTTAGTTGTCTATAAAATCCAATTAAAGAACCAATGTATGATAATATTAATGATTTTATGATCTTTAGATGCAGTCAAGAGAAGAAATTAATAACTCCTCTCTGCAGAAAGTACTTACAGATGTTGAAAAGAAACTTGTTGATTTATTTATCCAAGAGTGGAACACACATTGCAGTAAAGACCACGGAGAATGGAATAATTCAAGCAGTGGTCAGAAGTTGTTTGATACTGAAAGTAAAAAAAAGAAACCTCCTAACACAAATATTCTGTCAAATTTTCAAAATGGTGACACCAGTAAGTGGGATTGTACGACGCTATTTGCAGCGATATTGTATTCCAAATCAATTGGAACAAAAATTGATCGAAAAGTTAGAGATGCATTAAATGAACTTCGTAATGTTAGAAACAAATTTATCCATGAAAATAAAGGAAAAGTTTCTGATGACAAATTTCAAACAATGCTTTGCACTATTGAAAACTCATTTCAAGATTTAGGATTTTCATTTAATGAAATTAATGAAATAAAAAGTGAACGAAACAAATTTAATTCTTTTCAAGTACTTCCTTTCAAATCAAATCACGATGTGGTTAAACGTACAGAATTACTTAATCAAATCACAGCAGATCTCAATAACTTGCGCAGTACTAACAATAATGAACTAACATATTACTATATTTCTGGTAATCCTGGCAGTGGTAAATCTCAATTAGCTAGACAAATTTGCGAAGAAATGTATAACTCGTTTGACTGGGAAAAGAATACGACATTTGTGATGACACTCGAAGGAAAAGATATCGACTCTCTTTTGAACACTTATGCTGAACTTTATCAACGATTGAGCAATGATAAAAATGTCATTGAAAATATTCAGAAAGAAGCAAAAAGCAGCGAAGACAAAATTAAAGATTTTCAATTATTGCTGACGCAGCAACTGAAATCTTGGCAAACATGGTGGATTGTTGTAGATAACGTGGTTGAACTTGATAAAATATACCCATTATTACCTCAAGTTGGTGATCATAGCTGGAAAAATGGTCAAATTATAGTAACTGTCCAAAATACACATGCTATACCACCAGATGGAAATCTAAATAAACACATTTCAGTTAGTCATGGTATGAACAACGAAGAATGTCGACAGCTTTTATCTGTCTTTTCTGAAATTCATAAAAAAGATGAAAAATTTTTAAAGGATTTATCAGACAAATTAGATCGTCAGCCGTTGTTCCTGGCAAATGCTGCTTCCTACGTAAGTAGTGTAAAAAGTGTAAATCCGACATTCACGTGGGAGAAATATTTTGATAAGTTGAATGAAGGAGAGCGACAGAACATGGATGCCAATTTTCGAAAAATAAACCCATCTTACTTAGGAATGAAAACTGTTATGTTAGCAGTTGAAAAAAATGCTAAGGAATCCATCTTGTTGGAACATGTTTTTAAACTTTTCTCAATAATATCTTTCGATCCCTTACCACAAGATGTTATAATACAATTTATTAAAAGCATTGATCCACAAAAATCTGCAGAAGATGTCTGTCTTCAATTAAAGCATTGTTCTTTATTCCTTCAAACGGAAAACAACGACATCCACCTGCACAGCGTTGTACACGAAGCCATCGTAAATTATTCATCGCAGACCTTTGGCTCTAAACAAAACGAAAATAATTCTAAAAAGTCTGCAGCTGATCTTGCCTGTCAATTTGCTTGGGCACTAAATCATTTTAAAGACAGAGAAGATGAAATCAAAATAATTCCACATCTAATTAAATTCATAACAAATTCATCATTTCAACATTTCCTAAATAAGTTGATCGATGTAAAATCATTCTTTTTTTTCATTAGAAGACAAAAACTTGATGAAAGAAATTGGAAATTTGCCAAATATTTTGTAGATGTTTTGAAAAGATTTTGCAACTATAAACTTGCGTATAAAGTACTTTATGAAATAACAGAAATTCAAACTAAAGTGTTAGGTGTTGATCATATTGATGTTTCACATTCGTACAACAAGCTGGGTGAGTTGCTTTGGAAGACTGGAGAATATGAAAATGCTATAGATTTTCTCGAGCGAGCAATGGGAATTCAAACAAAAGCATTTGGACCTGACCATGTTAATATTGCGACAACGTACAACAATCTGGGTTCGGTTTACAGTAAAATGGGAGAGTACGAAAAAGCAAAACATTTTTATGAACGAGCGATAGAAATTCAAACGAAAGCATTTGGACCTGACCATATTAATATTGCTACAACGTACCACCATCTGGGTTTGGTTTACAAAGATATGGGAGAGTACGAAAAAGCAAAAGATTTTAATGAACGAGCCATGAAAATTCAAACAAAAACATTTGGACCTGACCATGTTAATATTGCTACAACGTACCACAATCTGGGTTTGGTTTACAAAGATATGGGAGAGTACGAAAAAGCAAAAGATTTTTATGAACGAGCGATGAAAATTCAAACAAAAACATTTGGACCTGACCATGTTGATATTGCGAAAACGTACAACAATCTGGGTTTGGTTTACAACAATATGGGAGAGTACAAAAAAGCAAAAGATTTTTATGAACGAGCGATGAAAATTCTAACAAAAACATTTGGACCTGACCATGTTGATATTGCGGTAACGTACAACAATCTGGGTTTGGTTTACAGTAAAATGGGAGAGTACGAAAAAGCAAAATATTTCTATGAACGAGCGATAGAAATTCAAACAAAACATTTGGACCTGACCATGTTAATATTGCGACAACGTACAACAATCTGGGTTCGGTTTACAGTAAAATGGGAGAGTACGAAAAAGCAAAAGATTTTTATGAACGAGCGATAGAAATTCAAACGAAAACATTTGGACCTGACCATGTTAATATTGCGACAACGTACAACAATCTGGGTTCGGTTTATATTAAAATGGGAGAGTACGAAAAAGCAAAACATTGTTATGAACGAGTGATAGAAATTAAAACGAAAACATTTGGACCTGACCATGTTAATATTGCGACAACGTACAACAATCTGGGTTGGGTTTACAACAATATGGGAGAGTACGAAATAGCAAAACATTTTTATGAACGAGCGATAGAAATTGAAACGAAAACATTTGGACCTGACCATGTAAATATAGCGAGAACGTACAGCAATCTGGGTTCGGTTTACAACAATATGGGAGAGTACGAAATAGCAAAACATTTTTATGAACGAGCGATAGAAATTGAAACGAAAACATTTGGACCTGACCATGTAAATATTGCGATAACGTACAACAATCTGGGCTCGGTTTACAACAATATGGGAGAGTACGAAATAGCAAAAGATTTTTATGAACGAGCGATAGAAATTCAAACAAAAACATTTGAACCTGACCATGTTAATATTGCGAAAACGTACAACAATCTGGGTTCGGTTTACTATAATATGGGAGAGTACAAAAAAGCAAAAGATTTTTATGAACGAGCGATGGAAATTAAAGCGAAAACATTTGGACCTAAACATGTACAGCAATAATATACAACAATCTTCATTTGGTTATAAACAAACTATAAATATTGAAACTGAAGCATTTGAACTTCTATTTATCTTTTATTTGCTAGAAGCTAAAATATTCCTGTCTTTGAGAAAACGTACAAGGAGATAGAAGAAGAGGAAATGAATTTGTAGCTCATTTTCAATGAAGAAGAAAATCAATTTCTCTTTTCATTTTAGGTATGTCTTCTTTATACTAAAGCTGATTTGAACCAGTTGTATTGTAGATTTCTTTTAACAAAGGTTCAAACAACAAAAGTTGTATATTTATAAAAGGTATAAATATATTATTGACAACATTCAAACATTTGTATTTTCAAGTTTTCAAATGTCATTTATTTACTGGAACAGTTTTTATTAAGAAACTTGTATGGAACTATCAAAGTGTACAAACTATAAAAAGTTTATATTAGGAATATATTTCTAGGGCAAAACGCTCCTTTAAAGTATGTATCCATGTTCAGGAGTGAATGACATGACCAGACATTTTTGGCTAATGTCTTTACAACTGATAAGAACAGTAAATGAGTCATTTCTACTGGTGTCTTTACTACTGATATGGACAGTAATGAGTCATTTTCATTGCTATGACATTCATCTCTTGCTTTTGCTATAGTTTATACTTTACATTGCTTTGAAACTGATTCTTCCGGCTACATAAATGATTTTACCACAAAATCACAATACAAAATGTTGTGGTTATCTCTGATCCCAAGAAAATGAAATATAAATTAAAAATCAGATTTACTACATTTAAATGTAAGCGAAAAAAGAACATTGTCACAACAATTAAGGTGTAAATCCCCAACCGTAAATAGAAAGAAATGTTGAATCAAGTAACCAAACTATTGACCTTCTCTCCACACACAATTATTTAAATACAAATTCTATTTTACCATTTATCACAGTGAACAGAAATTTTTATATTTACCCAGCAAAGCCAGTGTTAGGGCTTTTTAGAAAACTTACTAAGCACTATACATTTTACATGTAAATAATGTACATGTTAAGATTTTTCTTATTAAACAACAAAAAGAACCAAACAAACACTCCATTTAAACCTTTGCCTACAGAAATTGAAAATGCAACTGTTACTGCTCAGCTAAAGGAGAAAGAAAACATACCCAAAAGCCAGGGCTAACAAAGCATCTTGCTCCTTGAAATGGAGCCACAAATCCATTCTTGTGACTAAACACAATAAAAATCCTTTGCTGACAAGCGTTTTGATAGATCTGGCATTGGTGACCATCTGACAACGTAATTTATCTTTATGTATGTTTTAGGTAGTGATGTAGCCATGAAAAATGGGGCTTTTACTCTAATTATGTGTGTCTGGCCCATATTTACTGTTGTCATCTCATATGTAGTGTAGTGAGTAACGAAAAAGTAATTGAACAAGAAAATATTTATTTTCATAGCACTGGTAGACTTGCTATACGCTACGAGTTGTCATTGTGTTATTAAAGGGCTGAATTCTGATATCTTCCCTTGATTCTTATTTTTCTATTTTCGGTAAATTATACACGTATTTTATAAAATATACATTTAAGTTGATTTATCCAAAGGGGAAACCCCACGGTCTGGGGATCTAAGTTCTTGATACAGGGTGTTTCAAAAAAAGGTAATCCAACTTTTACTTGCTGAAATGTGTAAATTACTGAATAAATAACTGTAGTTTTAAATATTTAAAAAAGAGTTCTAGGTTCTAGCTTTGGAATGCTATGTTGTTTGTTGTGATTTGGAAGGAAAATGAGTGAAATGCAAGCGCGTTGAAAAATTTTGGTCAAAGTCGCATTCTTTCACCTTTGAGCATTTTTCCATCAACATGAATGGTGCTTCACTTTGATTTTGCTGGTTTGTTGACTGACTATCACATATTTCATGGTGATGTCTCGTTTTTCAACCTTGACAATATTTGAAATAATCAGACATTTACAATTTCCATGATTCAGCAAAAATTGATCCTCAAGGAGCCTTAATTAAACGTAGTTAAATACATAATAAATTAATAACTACATACGTATAATATAGAAGCTATAGTGCATTAAAAATCCCAGTCAAGAAACTTATTTTAATTACATTTATACCTCCTAGCGTGGAGATCAATCATTGCAGCTGAATCATGCAAATTTCAAACTATCGGCTGATTTCAAAGATGACCAGTTCTTTTGAGACATACATATTGTAAGATATTTTGAATAAAAAAATTTGCAAAGATCATCAAGTGTACGCTCACTACGCTGAAATAGATCGAGGTGTTTAACTACACTGTGAAGCATTTGGAAGAAATAAAAGCATACAGCACTGTTTTACCCGCTGTTAATTAAGTTGTACTAGATTTTGAAACACTTAATTAGCATTAAATTTGTTTCTATATCTCAAATATAATATGCTTTTATAATTATTTTAAACATTGATTTGTTTTATCTTTCGTCATTTCGACTTCAATAAAGATTGAAAGTTTGAGTTGATCTTAAAATATGCCCCAAGTTGCGGAAAGCGTGTGTTTTCTGATTGGTCAGTTCTTAGGCGTGTACTTAATTCTACATGGTACACAAGTAAAAATGACTTGCTAATTGCATCTCATTTCTTTTTGTTTTTTATGAGCCAACGCTTTCATTTTTAAGGTTGGCTGCTTGCGTAAAGCCTAGTTCACATATGACTGAGACATGACTGAGACATACCTGTGACGATGTCTGCGTTGTTCTTAAGGCAAATGTAAACACTCATCGCTGACACACTAATGATGTTTCAGGCATTCGTAGGAGTTACCTGCAGTATACCACCGAAATGCCGTAAAAGTTGAGTTGTGTTCAAGTTTGCCTCCATGTCGGCGGCTAAACGGTGGTGTACGGAACATATTTTGGTTATTTATGTTATATGTGAACGCTTCTCAGATAGACCGGCGATTTTCCATCATGCATTTGGGTAAAAAGATGGCGGATGAATTTTCAACACAGGACATGGAACCAAAAAAAGACTGAATGGAACAACGATAAAAATAAAAACTTATGGATACAATACGAAACTATCGGGCTATTTATGATAAATCGTGTCCAGAGTACAAAAATCAAAGAGTAAAATACAAATTATTCTCTTTTTTTCAAACCGGCTCTCCCATCTTTGATGTATTTTGAAATGACTGTTAAAAGGGCCGCATAATTTGCAAATAGTAACGCTATTTTCAAATTACGAAGCACTAATTTGTCAAATTCAAACTGCCGCTAAATTTTTGTGGTCTATCGGCGATTTGAATTATGTCATTGAAAAGCATCGCAGACATGCCTCAGGTCTGCCTCAGCCACAAGATCAGAAAGCATCTCAGGCTTGCCCTAAATAATGCCTTAGTCATGTCTCTGTCATATGTGAACCAGGCTTAAGCAGAAAATTCTTTATGTCGTTGTAAGGGTAAGGTCCGTTTCAAACGTCGCATTTTACATGAACCAAATGCATTAAAAACAAAAGAAAATGAGAAAAAAATCCTCGATATCTTTTGTTTTAAATGCACTCGGCTCATGTAAAATTCGACGTTTCAAACAGGCCTAAGATAAATAGTAAACTCAATGATATAAAAAGCACTTAAAAAATGGCGGTATTTTCCGAGAACTCGAATATTCGTTAACCGCCTGAACGTAGATTTCGACATTAATGTTTGTCATTATTTAAAATTTTCTGATGAGGAACAGGGCTAATTTTGAAAATATATAAGCAAATAACATAATGGTAAGGAAACATTATTTGCTTTTTAATTCATAGGTTAAAACGTTTTCGAAGGTAGTATTGAGAAATGTCTTCGACGAGGATCGGGGCATCTCATTACTAAGATATAGCGTAATTTATATTTCCCCTTTTTTATATACCATTCCCAAATTTTATTAATTTAAACGTTTGTTTGTTCAGAGATTAGATAGTAGACACCAATGTTCGATAGACTAGTGAAACGCAGGCAATATCGAGATGTTTTTGACATTATGCAGATACATAACATAGAAAATGTAAACAACAAAGTTGTAGTGGTTGTGTTGGCAAAACCTTGTTATGATGTTGTGTTTTGATACCCAACATTTTGAGTTCTCACCCATTTTTGTCAGATTATATCAATCATACTGGTATTTTTTAAATGTCAATCATAAAAAAGCAAATCCTTACGTACTCATCGAGTACCTATTTTTTACAAATTATCATTGTATAAAGAATGTTTCAATGATACATCCTGTATAATTATTAAAAGGAAAATTTAAAATGTTATAAGCACATTAAACAAACAATTGTCGAATGCGCCAGCAACCAACCTGGTGAAACGGTAAATGAATTGAAGAAATAAAAATTTTATTAACATGAAAGTTGTTTAAAAGTCGCTATTTGTTATTCGACTTATTTTGATATCAATGTTGCATGCTTTGTTGTTTGTCCGTCTATGCTTAATTAATGTTTTGCTTGCATTTATGTGTCTGTTGATATCGAAAATAATGAGTTACAATGAAGAAATGTCAGTGGTCCAAAAACAAAAGACTATTTTATGAATAATAAAAATGACATTGTTTAGTACATGCAAAGAAGTTAAGTCAATTGAACAAAAAATATTTCTTGTGATCATTTATGTACATTTATACCTGCATTAGATGGCAATGCTTGACAGAATAGCGAAATGGTGATCCATTATAAATTACTGGAACTCCAAAACCCTTTCGATTTGTGCTATAAAAATATGAATGTTTAAATAACAAAGTTTAACCATGGATAGGCCTTGCGTTCATACGGCTCCGCTGCAATCCGATACGCTTTATATAGCTTTCCGGAGTGATTTGACTCCGCTGTGGAAGTGGTATGAAAACCAATCCAATACGTTCCGTTGTCGTGTGAACGCTCAAATCCGATACGTTCCACTTTGGCAACTAAAAAGTCCGTGCGATTTTTCAAAAATGAAAGCAAACATAGCGATACAAACTATGTTTTAAATGAATAATCCGCCAGCAAATATAATATATCTTCAACATGGCATGTTTAAGCTTTTAACAATGAATTATCGCAGTGTGAAAAGCTTCTTTCTAGTATTATTGTAATGGCAACATATATTCGGTCGTATTTGGACTTTACACTCTTCCAGTCCTTGCGCCCATTCGTAAAAAACCTTAATACGCCGAAGAAAAACTCTACTTAGTTATCTGTCAAAAAAAAATTCTGTTTTCTCTTGAAATATTTGCATTAGCAACCATGGTCGTTATCGCTTGCACGCACAAGTACTGGGGCGATATAAAAAATTATGTATCGTCTTACGAATCGTGTGAACAGGGCATCGTGTGAACAGGGCCTAAGAGTAAAATGAATCCAGTATGACAAAAAGCACTTGATAGATTTTCAATCTGAGCACGTGACTAAGTCCAGGCTAAGGATAATTATAATAATCAACATGTATCTATATAATATATATTATAAATTTACCAATTATCTGTAGTAAATATATTATATATTTATTGTAAATATGAATATATTTAAAAAGTTATTACAATAATAGAGAAGGATTGATTATACACATTGTATGGAATATATTCATACAATGTAATAAACCTTCTCATTTTATTATTGTAATGGCTTTTTTAAGTATTTTGTTGGGCTATTATTCATATTGAATTCGCTTTCCGCCTGGCAAATTCTGGCCACGATTTTGAAGTAACTAAAATATATATGTGTATTGGTAAATATATAATATATTTGTTATAAATTTCTATCATGAATACAAAGTTTACGGCGCACGGTCTGTTTAGATGGAATGGGGAGAGCTATCGTTTGTTTAAATTTCTATCATGAATACAAAGTTTACGGCGCAAGGTCTGTTTAGATGGAATGGGGAGAGTTATCGTTTGTTTAAATTTCTATCATGAATACAAAGTTTACGGCACAAGGTCTGTTTAGATGGAATGGGAGAGTTATCGTTTGTTTAAATTTCTATCATGAATACAAAGTTTACGGCACAAGGTCTGTTTAGATGGAATGGGAGAGCTATCGTTTGTTTAAATTTCTATCATGAATACAAAGTTTACGGCGCAAGGTCTGTTTAGATGGAATGGGGAGAGTTATCGTTTGTTTAAATTTCTATCATGAATACAAAGTTTACGGCGCAAGGTCTGTTTAGATGGAATGGGAGAGCTATCGTTTGTTTAAATTTCTATCATGAATACAAAGTTTACGGCACACGGTCTGTTTAGATGGAATGGGGAGAGTTATCGTTTGTTTAAATTTCTATCATGAATACAAAGTTTACGGCGCACGGTCTGTTTAGATGGAATGGGGAGAGTTATCGTTTGTTTAAATTTCTATCATGAATACAAAGTTTACGGCACAAGGTCTGTTTAGATGGAATGGGGAGAGTTATCGTTTGTTTAAATTTCTATCATGAATACAAAGTTTACGGCACAAGGTCTGTTTAGATGGAATGGGAGAGTTATCGTTTGTTTAAATTTCTATCATGAATACAAAGTTTACGGCGCACGGTCTGTTTAGATGGAATGGGAGAGTTATCGTTTGTTTAAATTTCTATCATGAATACAAAGTTTACGGCACAAGGTCTGTTTAGATGGAATGGGGAGAGTTATCGTTTGTTTAAATTTCTATCATGAATACAAAGTTTACGGCACAAGGTCTGTTTAGATGGAATGGGAGAGTTATCGTTTGTTTAAATTTCTATCATGAATACAAAGTTTACGGCACAAGGTCTGTTTAGATGGAATGGGGAGAGTTATCGTTTGTTTAAATTTCTATCATGAATACAAAGTTTACGGCACAAGGTCTGTTTAGATGGAATGGGGAGAGTTATCGTTTGTTTAAATTTCTATCATGAATACAAAGTTTACGGCACAAGGTCTGTTTAGATGGAATGGGGAGAGTTATCGTTTGTTTAAATTTCTATCATGAATACAAAGTTTACGGCAAAGGTCTGTTTAGATGGAATGGGGAGAGTTATCGTTTGTTTAAATTTCTATCATGAATACAAAGTTTACGGCGCAAGGTCTGTTTAGATGGAATGGGGAGAGTTATCGTTTGTTTAAATTTCTATCATGAATACAAAGTTTACGGCAACGGTCTGTTTAGATGGAATGGGGAGAGTTATCGTTTGTTTAAATTTCTATCATGAATACAAAGTTTACGGCACACGGTCTGTTTAGATGGAATGGGGAGAGTTATCGTTTGTTTAAATTTCTATCATGAATACAAAGTTTACGGCACACGGTCTGTTTAGATGGAATGGGAGAGTTATCGTTTGTTTAAATTTCTATCATGAATACAAAGTTTACGGCACAAGGTCTGTTTAGATGGAATGGGGAGAGTTATCGTTTGTTTAAATTTCTATCATGAATACAAAGTTTACGGCGCACGGTCTGTTTAGATGGAATGGGGAGAGTTATCGTTTGTTTAAATTTCTATCATGAATACAAAGTTTACGGCACACGGTCTGTTTAGATGGAATGGGGAGAGTTATCGTTTGTTTAAATTTCTATCATGAATACAAAGTTTACGGCAAACGGTCTGTTTAGATGGAATGGGGAGAGTTATCGTTTGTTTAAATTTCTATCATGAATACAAAGTTTACGGCACACGGTCTGTTTAGATGGAATGGGAGAGTTATCGTTTGTTTAAATTTCTATCATGAATACAAAGTTTACGGCACACGGTCTGTTTAGATGGAATGGGAGAGTTATCGTTTGTTTAAATTTCTATCATGAATACAAAGTTTACGGCACACGGTCTGTTTAGATGGAATGGGGAGAGTTATCGTTTGTTTAAATTTCTATCATGAATACAAAGTTTACGGCACAAGGTCTGTTTAGATGGAATGGGGAGAGTTATCGTTTGTTTAAATTTCTATCATGAATACAAAGTTTACGGCACAAGGTCTGTTTAGATGGAATGGGGAGAGTTATCGTTTGTTTAAATTTCTATCATGAATACAAAGTTTACGGCACACGGTCTGTTTAGATGGAATGGGGAGAGTTATCGTTTGTTTAAATTTCTATCATGAATACAAAGTTTACGGCACACGGTCTGTTTAGATGGAATGGGAGAGTTATCGTTTGTTTAAATTTCTATCATGAATACAAAGTTTACGGCAAGGTCTGTTTAGATGGAATGGGGAGAGTTATCGTTTGTTTAAATTTCTATCATGAATACAAAGTTTACGGCACACGGTCTGTTTAGATGGAATGGGGAGAGTTATCGTTTGTTTAAATTTCTATCATGAATACAAAGTTTACGGCACACGGTCTGTTTAGATGGAATGGGGAGAGTTATCGTTTGTTTAAATTTCTATCATGAATACAAAGTTTACGGCACACGGTCTGTTTAGATGGAATGGGAGAGTTATCGTTTGTTTAAATTTCTATCATGAATACAAAGTTTACGGCACACGGTCTGTTTAGATGGAATGGGGAGAGTTATCGTTTGTTTAAATTTCTATCATGAATACAAAGTTTACGGCACAAGGTCTGTTTAGATGGAATGGGGAGAGTTATCGTTTGTTTAAATTTCTATCATGAATACAAAGTTTACGGCACAAGGTCTGTTTAGATGGAATGGGGAGAGTTATCGTTTGTTTAAATTTCTATCATGAATACAAAGTTTACGGCACACGGTCTGTTTAGATGGAATGGGAGAGTTATCGTTTGTTTAAATTTCTATCATGAATACAAAGTTTACGGCACACGGTCTGTTTAGATGGAATGGGGAGAGTTATCGTTTGTTTAAATTTCTATCATGAATACAAAGTTTACGGCACACGGTCTGTTTAGATGGAATGGGAGAGTTATCGTTTGTTTAAATTTCTATCATGAATACAAAGTTTACGGCACACGGTCTGTTTAGATGGAATGGGGAGAGTTATCGTTTGTTTAAATTTCTATCATGAATACAAAGTTTACGGCACACGGTCTGTTTAGATGGAATGGGGAGAGTTATCGTTTGTTTAAATTTCTATCATGAATACAAAGTTTACGGCACAAGGTCTGTTTAGATGGAATGGGGAGAGTTATCGTTTGTTTAAATTTCTATCATGAATACAAAGTTTACGGCACAAGGTCTGTTTAGATGGAATGGGGAGAGTTATCGTTTGTTTAAATTTCTATCATGAATACAAAGTTTACGGCACAAGGTCTGTTTAGATGGAATGGGGAGAGTTATCGTTTGTTTAAATTTCTATCATGAATACAAAGTTTACGGCACAAGGTCTGTTTAGATGGAATGGGGAGAGTTATCGTTTGTTTAAATTTCTATCATGAATACAAAGTTTACGGCACACGGTCTGTTTAGATGGAATGGGAGAGTTATCGTTTGTTTAAATTTCTATCATGAATACAAAGTTTACGGCACAAGGTCTGTTTAGATGGAATGGGAGAGTTATCGTTTGTTTAAATTTCTATCATGAATACAAAGTTTACGGCAAGGTCTGTTTAGATGGAATGGGGAGAGTTATCGTTTGTTTAAATTTCTATCATGAATACAAAGTTTACGGCACAAGGTCTGTTTAGATGGAATGGGGAGAGTTATCGTTTGTTTAAATTTCTATCATGAATACAAAGTTTACGGCGCAAGGTCTGTTTAGATGGAATGGGGAGAGTTATCGTTTGTTTAAATTTCTATCATGAATACAAAGTTTACGGCACAAGGTCTGTTTAGATGGAATGGGGAGAGCTATCGTTTGTTTAAATTTCTATCATGAATACAAAGTTTACGGCGCACGGTCTGTTTAGATGGAATGGGGAGAGTTATCGTTTGTTTAAATTTCTATCATGAATACAAAGTTTACGGCACAAGGTCTGTTTAGATGGAATGGGGAGAGTTATCGTTTGTTTAAATTTCTATCATGAATACAAAGTTTACGGCACAAGGTCTGTTTAGATGGAATGGGGAGAGTTATCGTTTGTTTAAATTTCTATCATGAATACAAAGTTTACGGCGCAAGGTCTGTTTAGATGGAATGGGGAGAGTTATCGTTTGTTTAAATTTCTATCATGACAAGATCAAAGTTACCTCAACACACGACATTCGTCCTGAGAAGTTTGCTGATGTGTAACCATAAGTGACATTTGCAATCAACTTTAAAGCAAGTTGTCGAGCATCAAGAAGTTGAAGAAGAGTCTAAAATGTAAATTATTTATGATATTGAATGATTAAAGAAAACAAACGAAGAGTGGAAAGGCATCTTTTTTGAACATGATGAAAACTCCATGACGTTTTAGCTACTGGATCTTATAAAAACATCAAAGATCGTTTCAAAAACAACGGTTTAATAAAACCAACCTACTTTATCATCTTTACAAACTTTCATAGCTTTCTTTACCATAATACGTGTGTATAATATCTCCTCTAACATTCTAAAATAAATCAAACTTATTGAACATATAAAAGCCAAAAATATCAAGACCATTTAGGACAGTAAAGACTTAAGAAGGAACGCTATGTACATTGTAAAATACACAACAAAATGCAAATGTTATTTTTTCAACAATCTTTTGAATCAATAAAAATGTGACCTGTAACCAAATGAATGTGAAATATCCCACATTACCTGGGTTAAATTCCTCGTCTTATGTTAGATTTTACAAAAACAGAGCCGTTGGCGCTTACATGAATATCATCTTGCAGTTTCTGAAAGGAAATGTATTGTTTCAATGTATTGCTTGTCATGATGGTAATCTATTAAAAATTCTCACCTCCAGTAATGTTAAAGGAACATTCAACGATGTACAACCAAACTCAAAATGACCAACGACATGTAAGACAGAGAAAATGACTTTTTACCTTAATTGTACAATCCATGCTACACGACAGAAGAAGATGAGCAGATTTCGGAAAGAATCTTATTGCAGAAACACTTTTAGTGTGACCAGATCTAAGAGAAAGATAAAATAATACAATAATACATAAGTAAGAATATCTCCATTGCTTTTTTTTATCACGACGGTAGAAGGATGAACTACAGGAAAACAAATACTTAAATATTATTAAAAAGTGCTGTATAAAGTGAATATTTGCATCAGGAAGTATCGTTACGTTTTTGTCGAGGTTAGTAGAGTCCTGTGAAGGACTGTTGGTGTTGATGTTGACTGACGTTTCGACAACCTTAGCAGTAGTCATCTTCAGAGTCAAATGATAAGTAAATGTCAGGTTAGCCGTGTTTCTTAAAACAAGTGCTAAGGAAGTCCAATACAATATCTACAAACATACGTACGTAGTACTAGAACAAATCATTACTTTATAATAAATAATACACTGATAAATATGATTTTATAAACATATCAAATGATCACGTATTATGAGACGCTTTCTCTAATGAATACTGTAATACTAAATATAAATATTAGAGCCCAACAAATAATTTTAAACATAGTCATAAACAATTTGGTTTTATGAAATTTATTAAAAGAGTGACGTTTCGTCTTTGCTCAAGACATCTTCAGACGAATTAGGAAGATCTCTTTTCTCCAACATTCCCCTTAATGAAACAATCAATATCATCTGTGACCTTCTTTTTACTAACCATAAACAATTTCATGGACTCACCCGCACCGAATTCAAAAATCTACTAATTGCCACTTTATGTTTAACGACCGCTTATACCACCAAATTGATGGTGTTGCTATGGATAGTCCCCTTGGCCCCCTTTTTGCCAACATATTCATGTCTTTCCATGAACAAAACTGGCTGAAAAACTGTCCCTAGAAATTCAAACCTGTTCTCTACAGACGTTATGTCGATGATTGCTTCCTCCTTTTTAAGTCACTTGATCACGTTCCTCTTTTTTTAGAATACATCAACCATCAACACCCCAACATCACTTTTACCTCTGAGACGGAAAATAATGGACGACTACCGTTTTTAGACATTGACATTTACCGCTCAAATGACAAATTCAACACCTCTGTATATCGTAAACCCACATTCACCGGTCTTTTCACACACTTTCACAGCTTTATCCCACTTTCTTACAAACGTAACTTAATTTCTGGCCTATTACACCGCTTTTTCAAACTCTGCTCTAGTTATGAGACTTTTCATGCCCAAATTGAAACCACCAGAAAACTATTCAAACTCAATTGCTATCCAACTAATATGTTCGACCGCATTGTCCGTCGTTCCGTTGACACAAAATTCGAACAGAAACCACCTGTCCTTAGTGCCCCAAAGAAAATAGTGTATTTCTGTCTCCCATTCACCGGCTGTCACTCGTTACAAATCCGCACACAAATCAATCGTCTCTACAACGCTGCTTTCCCTCATCTCAATGTCAGATTCGTCTTTCGTACCCCCACACGAATCTGTTCATTTTCCCCCGTTAAGGATAAACTTCCCAAGTCTCTGAGATCTGGTGTTGTTTATTTATACACGTGTCGATGCTGTTCCGCGTCGTATGTGGGTCAAACCACACGCCACTTACACACCAGAATCTCGGAACACTTGGGGATCTCTCCTTTGACTGGAAAACGCTATACTAACCCATTAATGTCAAGTATTCTTTCTCATAGTAACTCCTCCATCCACCCTGCTTCGCCAGACGATTTTAAAATCATCTCATCCTGCTCCAACACATTCGACCTCATGATCCACGAAAGCCTCCTCATCTCCAAACTAAAACCTTTACTTAACACCCAAGGCAGCTCCATCCCTCTTAAGCTTTTCTAGTCTCAACACCTCACCCTAACAATACATCACATCACACTTAAACAGCCACAGTAACCTGATACCTCAAACTATGTAAACAGCTCTATATATATCTATATTCTTGTTAACTTCCTAATTAGTCTGAAGATGTTTTGAGTAAAGACGAAACGTCACTCTTTTAATAAATTTCATAAAACCAAATTGTTTATGACTATGTTCAAAATTATATGTTGGGCTCTAATATTTATATTGAGAATCCGTTTCCCGCCTGGCACCTCATTGGCAAGAATACTGTAATGTATAATTGAACTTCCTCAATACCATCAAGAATTATATCATAAACTGTCTTTAAACTTAATTCAATTATTGCGTGTTTCCCTTAAAATCTACAAAATTTAAAGCATATTGATGACTCTAAGTCTGACGTTCCATGGCATTTCTAATTACATTTTAGTAAGTAAACTTTCATATTTCTTCCGTTTTTGTTTTACAGTAAAGTAACAGAAAACAAACAAAAGCAAGAACAACTAAAATTCAATAGCGTGTTTAACGTCATTTCTGGTATTTTAACTTCCATTTTTTGATTTTGAATAAATGAACTAAATGGAGAATTGTTTACATACCACGTATGAATATGTTGTTTTGGTAGAAAGCAACGTTCTGGAGGAGTATCTGACTTGAGATTAATGCCAAGTTCTTGTGGAATGTGAAGTTATGATCTTCCTTGACAGTCATATGTATCTTTAACAGAAAAATAATTACATTTGGTAAAGTTTAGGAAACTACAAGAAAGTATGAAAATTTTAACTTACTGTGTAAAGTGGATTTCTCTTCTGAAGGTTTCATATCATCTTTCTTTGATTTGTTTTTCTTCGATAATTCATAATCCTCAAGGATTGTTGACTCTTCCTGTATTCACAAAGGTAAAATGCCAGAAAAATAATTGTTTGATTTTAAAAATATCTTTATAAAACTCTTTATTTGGGTAATTGAAATACCTCAGATGGTTTAGCAATAGTTTCTTCATCAACAAACTTACTCCATGGTCCTATAGGATAACAGAGAATAAGAGATAGTAGGACAACCTTTCAAAATTTGTCATTATTGTAGTAATCGTACCCTTGTATCCATCAATCACACCAGGATCTCCCTTATCCTCTCTCTTCCTCTTATCTCCCGCCCGCTGTTTTGTAGCTTCAAACACAGTCAATCCCTTGCTATCCTTTGCTTTCTCAACATCCCCAACAAATCTTAATGGATAACAATTGATATAAACATAAAACATTACCAAGCCTATTTACTAATAATTAACAGCCATGTACTACATTATGTTTTTAAGGTAATTTCATGACAAAGCCCATTCATCATATTCCACTCAAATAAACATTTATCAGCTTGAATCATTTCAAAGTAATTGAGTGATATAATACTTCAGCATTATTCCATTTCAGACTTGATGCATTCACTGAGGAACACGTTTGATGTAGGAGTGTTTAATACCCTCTACATATTGTGAATTATGTATAAAAGTTAGTCCGAAACTAATAAAGGATGAAAAGTTGGTTTGTATTGGGTTTTAGTATCAATCTACACTACAATAAATCATCCCACAATGTAAAACACATAAAATTTTGGAGAGATGTGCATCCTGCACTAACATGACTATCGTTGAAGATGTATGCTATATCATAGTTATGCTATAAGCACATTGTAACAATATTATATACATATATTGTAACTAACTTCTCTTCAATGTGAGCTGTGTCATCACTTGGATCTAATGCATAACCTGTGATTTATTAAAACAAAAGATCACACATAACTCATTAACAAATACATTTTTCTCAAACTATGCTTGCTTTTGCTCTTACCGTAACTTGAGAATGTTTTAGTTGATTATCAAATTGAAATTTACTGATATGAGCTGGCTCAACATAGCCAGACAACATATTTTTATGTGCTCTTTGCTGCTTCGTTTTAAATGGATTTTGGTCCAATCTAAAATAGTAGACTTCTTCAAAATCATGATTTTGTCCATGTGCATGTAAATGGTGACAATGATTAAATTATTAACGTACCGAAGCAGAAAAGAGTTCGTCATACTTTGCATTAAATGTAACTTCTTTCATTGAAGGATCGATGTGTCTTCTCCAATCAATTCTTTCCTTTAAAACATAGCAAATCGTATCATAGATTTAACCTTGGTGTAGGTAGTTGCCTAGTTAGGATTTTGGGAATAAAAACTATTGCACTTTACCTTAGCATCAACAATTGGCGCGCTGTTTAAAAGAAACTTAGATTTTAGAGTCTCCATATTGACAGTGCTTTCAATTGACTTTTCATCTTCTTTAGATTTATCATTATTACTTCTCTCTTCATTAGAAGAATCACTTTGATAAGACACCAATGATTTGGGACTTGCAGCTAAATCGAGAGATCGGAGCACAGAAGCCATATTGAAATTTGTCACGTGAAACGTGAACTGAAAGATAAATATTAAATGTCACCATCGTTACGCGCGCGAATTGTTTTATCGTCTTGTCGCGAAATACGATTTTACCCACTTTAACTTTTTTTGTAAAAAAACATCATCGTATGCGCATTGTCAACTTTCTTGTTCTCCTTCCATTGTATTGCTCTATAATAAAGCTAAATGTCTTAACGTTTTAAGTTCTTTATTATTCGTGAAAAGCGGTATGTGGAATAACAATACGAAGGTATTGCAAGTTTCATTGCTTCATCACACTAAGCATAAGCACATACATTAACTGAATTGCAAACACTACTTTCGCTGCAGAGTAAGTCAGAATACATGAAACTACTAGACAACTGCCGTATTGGCAATATTTTGGAAATAATTGGTAATAATTATAACAATATCAGCAGTGTTGTTATTACAGTATTTTAAATTTATAATAAGCTACTAAACATAAACATATTCTGACTTACCCCGGAACTTCCACTGCATTGCACTACTTGCAAATTTTATGCAGTTATTTAGGTTATTTAGTTCAGACCTTTGCAGTGCAATGGGGATGAGGGTGCAAGGCAACATGAATATAGGCCCTGACATGACATAGGATTAAAGTCTTGCATTAAAAATTCATAATATAGAAATGGAAATTAGTTTTGTTAATTATATGTACATAATTTATTTGGAGGTTTTGTCTCTCAAAAAAGCTTCAAAAAAGATAGATCCCGTACTGAGCAAGCTAACTAGAGGTCAGGCTTTTGAGTCTTTGTTGCCAAAGATTGAGAAATGGTTTACCAAAGGTGTAAATTGCAGTGCAGATGATGATTCAGTTGTTGATCTTTGCCATGTAACATCTATGCCAAGTATGGACCAGTTGCAACTATGGAGAAAAATAGTTGAGGCATGAAGTACAAGCAAAGGAGCATGTATCAACACATCACAAGGAAGGTTAGATATCAATTGCATCACAAATCTGCAGAAATTTCACACCTTAAAAAGCATACATGTAGAAGTTGAAGAGGAAATTGCCTGGTTTTCGCAACCATTGAACAAACCAGACACGGTAGTGGAACATCCATCAGCTGCTTCAATTACAGCCTTTCAGAAGCTTTTGTAAAGAACCCCATACAGTGAGATTATGAAAGAACGAGGATTGTCATCCAATGAGATGTCCAGGTTATGTGTTGACAGATGGGTGTCAAGTGACCACATATGCTGGTTGACAACAAACGTAAACCAAAAGAAAACAGATACATATTATGTGTACCTCAATGGAACAAAACCACCCACAAGAGCCCAACACCATGATAAAGATGAAATCATTTCAAAATTCTGTTTTGCCATAAATGTTGGTAAAAAAAAGCAATGGCAACACATTCCTTGGACATGATTTGCACCCCGTGTGTGCGTGCATGAGGGAAAGTTATTGACAAAGGAAACAGGTAACAAAGCAACTATTGTCAATTGAATATTACCTGTAAGTGTTTCACCAACATGCATGCAACATCATACAATATGTTTATTTTGAGTGCAGGATTATCAACATTATCTTTCTCTAATTCTTGGAGAACATAAACTGCATAGCTCAATCTATAAAATATGTAGAATATTTTTAAATAATGCAACCACATGTATGCAAAAGCTTCAGCACTTGCACAAAGCATTGAAAGTAGCAAACCAACTGAAAAAATAAATTTACACCATCAAATGCATGCATCCTAACCACCTCTTTCAAACCAAGAACATTTAGGTAAAAATAGAAAAATGTGTGTAACAGACCTCTCTCCATGTTTCAAATTTAAGAATTTTTAGGAAACTCATGTCGACAGCCTAAAGATTGCTGTTTCATCAAGAGCTCTGTAGCGATTCATTGATCAAACAGCATTCCCAGCAAGAAAACCATGACACTCCTATAAGTATCAATATGTAACAAACAAAAAAGTATACAAGAGCTTTATTTCCTAAAGCCCATGGCACAAATTTATTGAAAATAAAAACTATGTGGTAGAGAATGTAAAAAAATCAAATATATTCAAAGCACTGTAACTTCCATGCCTGAATTTTCATTAGAATAACAAAGTATGTTAAAGCTACATTGACCTTGTTTGATGTAGGTGTGGTATAATTGGCAACAAATTGATCAACATGTGTCTGATCATAGAACATCAGCTGTCCAAATAGAGGTTTTCCAAGACTCTGCCCAGCTTTTTCCTTTGTCCAATAAATAGAGCATCAAGAGATTCAAAGATCATACCATCAGTCTTCAATAAAATGGTGAAGGATAAAATCATGCAATGTATTTGAGTTCAATGATGCAAATGATGCAGTCAAAAAGGTGTTTAAGATAGCATTGCTAATGTTCTTTTTACTAAATTGTCATTGTTAAACAAGTAATATGAATATACTCACTTTGGGACAAGTAGGACAGATATTTCCTTCATCAAGCTCAGGAATAACACAGCCCAACATGTTTAGTTTATGTCTGTAAATTCTGAAAAAAACAATGACACAAAGAAAGCAATTATGCACTCTTAAACAAATCACATAAACAAAATACAGTTGAAGACAGTAATACTTGAGGAAAAATCCTTTCCCAACATAAATTTTAGCATTTTGATTTCCTCCAATTAAATACATCTCTTAAGATGAGATTCTTAGGCTATAAAATTGACTGCAACTTGCCCAGCAATTCATACGTAGTACAGCAGTGCAATAAATCAGTGACCTACATGCAGTTACCTATATTCTTCAAAAGCATCAATAAGGACAGAATACATTTTTGGTGTTGCATAAGAAGAGAATATGTGGTTATGATTAAACTCTTCAAATGACTGACAAATGTTTTTTATTGATGCCTGGCATTCCATCTGCACAGAATGAATCAATTCAAAAACTCAATTGCAAATGCAATTCTTGGTTTTGTAGGTGTTCCACCCAAAGGCCAAATTGCAGAAGTTGAACAAACTCTGGAGAGCATGAGCAAAACTGTACCTCAACAGTACAAAAGGTGCCTAAAATTGAAAAAGATCCAAAATTATAATTGTGTTGAACCATCCCAGCTAAAATGAAAAACTTTTGCAGCACATTTTACATATAACATACCTTTAACATCAACAACAGAAACACTTCTTTTGTGACGAGCTGTTTGGCATGAACAATCATACACCAGCATGTTCATGAGTTTATATGGCCAAAACATGCCATCCTACAAAGCAATGAATAACCTCGTAGAAATTAGTTGTAATCAATCCCTTTCTTGCATTCATAAAAAATATTAGATTAGTGCTTCGTAGCATGTTTCACAATGTAAACTCTCATTTTATTTTTGCATTTTTTGTTGCAAGTGTTGAGAGAGTTAACTGTAAACACTTTGATAATATCTAGCTCATAAAGGTTACCTTAAATATTTCAACATGATGACAAATATTTACGGTTGTGTGCATCTTTAATATAGAGTTCTCACAATACTTTGCCATTGGACCACAATCGCTGCATCTAAACTTTGCTTCATTATCACAATGAATACACTTCAGATTGCTCCAATTTTTGCCAGCAAACTGAAATGTATTCTTCATAATTGAATGTTGCAAATTTTCCCATGCTTTTTGTTTTCTTTCAACTTTCTGGTAATATGAAAATGATTCTTCACAATCATGGTGAACATCACTTTCAAGATCACTGTTATCTTGTTCCACTCCCAGTTCATGGCCTTCCAATGCACCACAATTATCAGGACTGTTAAACAGCTTCCTCTATGATCCTCAGTAACCAATTCTGACAAATCCACCTCCTCTCTCTCAACATGGCCATCCTCATCATGATATGTGACAGCTACAGTTGCTTTAAACCTTTTATTGCTCCTATAAAAATTATCATAAAAATCTATAAAATGATAATAAATGTTGAAAAGTCTAACAGCTATAAGGCCGTATTTGGTGTACCTTGCCATCTTTTAAAATTTCCAGCAAGAAAATCACAAATCAGAAAATATTATCGATATTACCAATGACACAATAACATAAGTTAAACAACCAAAGTACAACGTATGTATCTCCCACGACTACCAGCCGACGTTTTGTACCCGTACTTTACCGGCTTTTAGCCACGGTCTCATAAGACGAATAGGGTGATTTGTTTGGCTGGTAAAACGAAAGGAGTTTTTCTTCCGGTATATTGTAGAGCCTTTTTCCTAGGGTAGGGTAACATATCTCACGTGACCGGAAACGTAAATCATTTAAATTATTCCACAGAATCGACTAGAACGCCGCACCTGAGATATCATGTAGTTGGTTGTGTCTTGTAATCTTTCTGAATTTGTGAAGGTATGTTGATTTTAAACTTTACCTTTCGTTGTTATATTGTATTTTGATTTTGTGATTTAATGTTTCATGTCCATTTATCGATTATTTTGTTTTTCTGTAAAATATTCTACTTCCGCGTTATGTACGTATGTAAATGTTTTATAAAGATAAATTTGTTGATTTTGGTGAGATTTGGAACTAGCTCGAATCAAGTTTGGAAAATTAACTTGTTAACTTTCATATATCTTTATATAATAATAAAAAGAAATAAATTTCTACTATATAATAGTAATGTTCTACATCGATACACATCATGTGCATGGTCACGAGGTAGTAGAGGAAATAAGATATTCATGGATAATTTCGTAAAAGCACTATTGCTAATGCGCATTTAATATACACGACAAGTTTTTAAAATAGACATGTTTCGACATCTCATGATGCCATCTTCAGTATGAGTGAAATAATAAGTGATACAAGGTTTATATAAAGTAATATGATACATAAATTACAACAATAGGAAATAAGATAAAATGGGGGCGTCCGAGCGTATTATAAACTAAATATTGTATTGAATTTATAATACGCTCGGACGCTAATAATTATCTTATTTCCTTATTGTTATAATTTATGTATTTATATAAACCTTGTATCACTTATTATTTCTCATACTGAAGATAACATCATGAGATGTCGAAACATCTATTTTAAAAACTTGTATATAAAAGCATTAGCAATAGTGCTTTTACGAAATCGTGTAATAAAAATTAATGCCCAACATAAAGTTTTGATTAGAGCCATAGAAATAGACCAAAAAAAATTGTAAAATTGAATTTATTGTAACGTTTCGTCTTTACTCAAGACATCTTCAGACAAATAATAAATAGGATGTTAAGACAAGATATTATATTTACAAAAAGGTGTTAAATTACTATTAAAGGAGGCGGTGTCAAATGGATTATATGATAAGGAAGTTAGGAAGTAAAATAAAGAGAAATTAAAAGAGGTTAAGTGGAATGGAGTTTCCTTGCACATCAAGTGAAGGCTTGTATTTATTGATTAGAAGGCTTTCATGAATGGAGAGTTCATAAGAATCGTTAGAAGAGGAGATTATTTTAAAGTCGTCTAAGTTGAGGGTGTGTCCAGTTGCGTTAATGTGAGCAAAGATGCTTGATAACGCAGGGTGGGAAATTTGGTTGCCTGTAAGGGGGGATATTCCCAAGTGCTCCGAAAATCTGGTATGTAGATGACGTGTGGTCACCGCATGTGTGGTCACCGCATCTTCAACCTTTGTTCTACTTACGAAAATTTTCATACACAACTCGAATTTATCAGAAAGTCACTCACCAAAAATGGTTTTCCTTCACGTATAATTGACCAAATCACACGTCGCTTCCTTAACAACACCTTTGCCCCCAAACCACCTGTCTTGACTGCTCACAAAATGGCCATCTATTTTTGTCTTCCTTTCACCGGCATACACTCCCTTCAAATTCGTACACAAATCAATAGCCTTTTTGCTACAGCCTTCCCACATATATCTATTAAATTTGTTTTCCGCCCCTCCTAACGTATCTCTTCTTTCTTCCCCTTTAAGGACAAAATTCCCAAACCTCTTAGATCTGGTGTAGTCTATTTATTCAAGTGTCGAATCTGTAACGCCTCGTATGTGGGTCATCTACACACCAGATTTTCGGAGCACTTGGGAATCCCCCCTTACAGGCAACCAAGTTTCCCACCCTGCGTTATCAAGCATTTTTGCTCACATTAACGCAACTGGACACACCCCCAACTTAGATGACTTTAAAATAAACTCCTCTTCTAACGATTCTTATGAACTCTCTATTCATGAGAGCCTTCTAATCAATAAATACAAGCCTTCACTTAACGTGCAAGGAAACTCCATTCCACTTAACCTCTTTTAATTTCACCTTATTTTACTTCCTAACTTCCTTATCATATAATCCATTTGACACCGCCTTCTTTAGTAGTAATTTAACACCTTTTTGTAAATATAATATCTTGTCTTGACATTCTATTTATTATTTGTTTGAAGATGTCTTGAGTAAAGACGAAACGTTACAATAAATTCAATTTTACAATTTTTTTTGGTCTATTTCTATGGCTCTAATCAAAACTTTATGTTGGGCATTAATTTTTATTACACGAATTCGAACTCCTGCTCGGCAAGTCTCTCGCTACTATTTTACGAAATGTTACCCTACTTTTACGGTGTATACCCATTCCCCCCCACTATGTCTCTGTTCGGTGGGGGTGGAACAAGTTCAAACGTATCATTGTCAATTAACGCTTTCATTTCATCATTCATGGCTTTTTGCCATTTTACTTTTACATTGGAGCTTATTGCTTGGGAATATGTCGTTGGGATGTTGATACTCTATAGCAATAATCTACGGTATATGAGACAGTATCCTCCCCTGAAACTTCTTCTGTCACATACTTGTCAAGATATTTACTCTTACTTCTTATCCTAGTAGGGTATCTTGATTCTCTAGATGTCTCTGGAGCACTAATGTCTTCGTTAGTTGTTTTGGGGTTTCTTTCATGCAATTTTGCTATCTGACGTGCAAGTTCTTCATCATCTAGTTCTGGCAGTTCCCTGCTACCCTCCCTGAAGAACTTAACGCATTTTACACGCTCTACCTTGTTAATGTCAGGGTAGTATAGTGGATATGCTGGATTATTTTTATCATACCCTACGAAAATACCTTGTTTTTTTCTAGGGTCTAACTTTTTGGAATTTTGTAAATAACCATAACAAACCCGACCAAAAATGTACATTTTGCTCAAGTCTGGTTTTGAGCCTGTAAACGCTTCGAACGGAGTTTAGTTCAACCTCGAATTAAAACAACGATTCCTAATATAAGCAGATGCCATGAAAGCATATGTCAACATGGATTTTGGTAGTTCCGCTTCTAGCAATAGACACCTAACCATGTTAAATAAAGTTAACCCTGATCTCTCAACTGTGCCGTTCTGGTGTGGCGAATATGGTGCACTAGTTTCATGCCTAATTTTGTTTTCTCTAAGAATCGATTTGAAATTCTCGCTTGTAAATTCAGTGCCGTTATCATTTCTTATGCGCTTCACATTTCCGTATGATGCAACATCTGCTAAAAACTGTTTTAATGCTTGTGGTGTATCGCGTTTATTCTTAAGAAAATAGACTATATTCAATGCTGAATAATCATCCACAAACGACAATGCATATCTAAACCATTCTCTTCCTTCCGGATCAATAGGACCTGCAAGATCCGTGTGAATAAACTCAAGAGGACCTCTCGCCTTTTTATCTTCCAGCTTACTTTTCGTCTGACACATTTTACCTTGCGTAAAAACCTCACACTCAACATCCCTCAAGTCTGTGATTTTCATCCCCTTAACCGCCTTCTCTAGTTTCGTAACATCCTTGTAGTTGCAATGACCTAGAACCTTGTACCACTCGTAAAGAGAACATGCATTTTTATTCGAAGATGATATGCTATTTATATAGTAAAGTTTGCCTTTTTGTCTTATTCCAAACGTTGTGCCATGAGGTCACTGTACATGCTTATCGTGTTTATCTAATTTGATTTTTGCCCCCTTTTCTACTGCAGCATTTACTGAGAATATATTTTGATCGTAAGATGGAACATATAAGGCATTACTTAATAAGACATCCTGCTCATTTCCATGCAAGTCAACTAATTTGACTTTAGCAGTACCTTTACCGACTACTACGTAGGCTTTACTGTCATCTGCTAATTTAATAACATGCGCTTTACTATCAAATTTACTATCAAAATCCACAAATTTTGACTTATCGTTAATAATGTGGCTTGTAGCTCCTGTGTCCACCAGTGGAGTTAAATTTGCTTGATCCTTATCCTTCATGTCTGCTTCAGCGTTTTCTTCTTCATCCTTTGACACGACTAAAAAAGAGTTTGTTGCCGTTCACTGTCACAGCGCTGCCCTTCTTTAGATGATTTGGACTTTTCTTTCGTCTTTTGGAAATCTTTCGTGTCGTGGGTCTTGGTCTTGCAAATGGAGCACCATTTGTTCCCCTTCACTTGGCAATGTGAGCTTTTGTGTCCGTTTCTTCCACATTTGAAACAATTTCCATCAAATTTTGGTTTCACATACATAACGTTGTGACCTACCTCAGTTTTTGGTAACAATGGTTTGATATTTTCTTCATGACTTCATAACGAGTTCTTAAATTCCGTGAATGTCATTTGTCTTTCCATTTGAACTGTTACGGTAGCAAAGACGTCGTATGTGCTTGGCAAACCCTTTAAAACCCTTGCAATGAGTAGTGCATCACTTATTATCTCCTCGGCTTCTCTTAAGGCTGTTGCCGATCGTTCCGCTCGCAATATATAATCTGTGACAGTCTCGTCGTCACTTTTCTACAGCGAATTAAGTGAGTTCCATGTAAAGAGCGATGATGCAAGGTTTTCCTCTGCCTTCATAGTGATGTCTGAGGATTTCTAAAGCTCTCCGTCCATTGTCTTTCGCCTCCCGAATCACAAGAGACAAACTTCTGTCGTCCAGACATCGGACCAATTCTGCAAAAGTGTCAGCCAGTATTGAAGCTGCTGGTTCTTCTCTCTCACTTGCTGATTCGATAAATACGTCGTACAGTTTTTTGAAGACGCATAAAGCCCAAGAATTTTACTTCCCATAACTCGTATTTGCTTTCGTTTCCATCGAAAAGCAAACCTCTTCTGGGTCCATAACCTGTTGAGTTCGAGTTACTCGCCATATCTCTTTTCGTAATATACTCTATACCTTCAGTAACAACCACGAGTGAACTTAATGATCAAACTGATTTTTATTATTTTACAGAGCAGTATTTATAGTCTTTATTACAAATAACAAATATTATTATTGGTCAGAATAGTTCCTCTATTTATACTATATATGGTACATAAGGAAATTTAACTAACGTCAATAATTGTTCCTTGGCTGTTAGCCGTGTGAAAACGGATACATTGGTAAACCAAACTACACACATACTATTTCCTTAACATTTTTCTGTGGTTTATGAGCATGACTCAACAAAATATAAGACAAATCTTTTGAGCTTTTTTCTCATTTTCTAGATTTTCCAAAACATTTCAAGTGTACAATAAGTGCACAATAAGTAAATTATACATTTTATGGCATTTACATGAAATTTGCATGTCGATTACATACAGAATACTATAAAATGGTAATACCAGAATTTACCACAATATTTGACAGTGTGTAATTAATTTGTTTTTTAAATGTTCGCCTGGACACTGTCACAATTCTGCATTCTACAAAACTAGAATGAATTTTTGGTTTTTCTTCTTTAAAACATGACTAACAAGACATGTCCTATATTTAACATAATTTTTTATTGAAAAGGAAGAATACTTGAAAAATTTCTCAAGGTTGTCTTTACAATTAATTCTAGAAGACAATCAGATCATCTATAAGAAATAGGACATTTTTTAAATGCAAAGGCTAAATTACAGAATACTCTGCTTCATATATATTTTCATTGTACAGCTGTCTAAGTAGTCATTGTATTCAAGTAGACTGCCTTTACAAACTTTGTGTGCCAGTTAGACAAATTGTTAAACACCTTCCTAAGTAATTATATAACTCAGTACCTCCTTTTTCACTCCAACATGCGGTGGCGTCAATAAAGGGGGGCCTGGGAAGGTGGCACGTGCCCTCTAAAAATTGGCTGTGCCCCCCAAGTGCTCCTCATTTGAATTTTAGATAAGAGCCTTCATATGCATCATTCAAAATTGAAAAAGAAGCACATGGCATTAATGTAGTACTTACAGAATTCACACAACTTTACTGTAAAGGGAAGCATTTCATTAGATGTGCAGACTAGTTTGCGTTGCATTTACCCTTTCTGGGTTGTTAGCCAAGTGGTGAAGATTTTAATGCCTTAAAAAAGAGAAAAAAAACCAATAATTCTAGAATAATTCAAGTCTCTAGTGGGCAAGGAAGAACAAGTACTATTGTGATGCTTATCATGAACCACATTACACCATATCATAGAACTTGTATGAGATCGTGGACAAGTATACTCGTAGACTCAAACTTGTAGACACAAAAATACAAATATAGCAATGACTAAGAGTAAGGCTCATGAAAATACTGCAATGCTGGAAGTATTATAATATGAAAACATTTCATTAAAATCAATAATCAATCTACGTAACGTTATAACACGAAAAATGTACAAATCTGCCAAGGTTAAACTGGGAATAAAGTAAATGGTTTGAACCCGGGAGTATCGTTACATGTTTGTAAATGATGATCGTCCAGGTTAATATAGTCCTTAGAAGGACTGTTTTTGTTGTTGTTGACTGACGTTTTGACAACCTTAGCGGTAGTCATCTTCACAGTCAAATGAGGAGTAAACGTCAGGTTAGCCGTATTTGTTATCTGGTTCTTACGTCATTGTATTGTTTGTACAGGAAAAGTGTACACACATTCACAATGACAATACACATTTCCTGCACATTTCCTGTACACACAATACAATGACGTAAGAACCAGATAACAAATATGGCTAACCTGACGTTTACTCCTCATTTGACTCTGAAGATGACTACCGCTAAGGTTGTCGAAACGTCAGTCAACAACAACAAAAACAGTCCTTCTCAGGACTTTATTAACCTGGACGATCATCATTTACAAACATGTAGTTAAACTGGGAAGTTATAAAATTGAAACTATTCATGTGGTTATAAATATTTCAAAAATATTCCAGTGTAGAAGCAATTTTTAGGGCCATTTCGCTAGTGACTGACGTGGTACAAATTTTGTGCCTTTCCACTACCAAAATATAGCCAAATGCCTAATTGCAGAAAAACTAACATGTCCCATTTCGTTGTTTTCAGCTGCCATCCTCGATATTCATTTACACGTACAAGTAAAACTGTAACATTACGTAGCTATGTTTGATCTTCAACAATTTTAGTTGTCTATAAACTCTAAGTAAAGAACCAATTTATCTTGATATTAGTAAATTTATGACCCTTAGATGCAGTCAAGACAAAAAATTAATAAATTCTACCTGCAAGAAATACTTACAGATGTTACAAAGAAACTTGTTGATCTTTTTATCAAAGAATGGAACACTCATTACAAAGAATCTCTCGGAGAATGGGAAAATACAAGTGTTAGTGGTCAGAAGTTGTTCATTATTGAAATATCAGAGAAAAAATTTTGTGATAAACAAACTTTGTCAAAATTTAAAGATGGTAACCCAAGTAAGTGGGATTGTACGGCATTATGTAAAGCATTATTGTTTACCCACTCAATTGGAACAAAAATTGATCCAAAAGTTAGAAATGCTGTGAATGAAATTCGTAAAGTAAGAAACCAAATCGCTCATAATGAAGGTGGAAAAGTATCTGATACTGAATACGACACACTGGTTTGTGATATTGAAAAGTCATTTCAAGATCTAGGATTTTCATTCACTGAAATTATCAAAATAAAAAGTGAACGAAACAAATATAATTCTTTTCAAGTACTTCCTTGCAAATCAAATCACGATGTGGTTAAACGTACAGAGTTACTTAATCAAATCACAGCAGATCTCAATAACTTGCGCAGTACTAACAATAATGAACTAACGTATTACTATATTTCTGGTAATCCTGGCAGTGGTAAATCTGAATTAGGTAGACAAATCTGCGAAGAAATGTATAACTCGTTTGACTGGGAAAATAAAACAACATTTGTGATGACACTCGAAGGAAAAGATATCGACTTTCTTTTAAAAACTTACGCTGAACTTTGTCAACGAGTAAGCAATGATAAAACTTTAATTGAAAATACTCTGAAAGAAGCAAAAAGCAGCGAAGAAAAAATTAAAGATTTTCAATTATTGCTGACACAACAACTGAAATCTTGGCAAACATGGTGGATTGTTGTAGATAACGTGGTTGAACTTCATAAAATTTATCCATTATTACCTCAAGTTGGTGATCATAGCTGGAAAAATGGTCAAATTATAGTAACTGTCCAAAATACAGATGCTATACCACCAGATGGAAATCTAAATAAACACATTTCAGTTAGTCATGGTATGAACAATGAAGAATGTCGAGAACTTCTATCTGTCTTTTCTGATATTCATAATGAAGATGAAAATATTTTAAAGATTTATCAGAAAATTAAATCGTCAACCGTTGTTCCTGGCAAATGCTGCTTCCTACGTAGGTGAGTGTAAAAGTGTAAATCCGACATTCACGTGGGAGCAATATTTGATAAGTTGAATGAAGGAAAGCGACAGAACATGGATGGCAATTTTCAAAAATAAACTCAACTTACTTAGGAATGAAAACTGTTATGTTAGCAGTTCAAAAAAATGCTGAAGAATCCATCTTGTTGGAACATGTTTTTAAACTTTTCTCTATAATATCTTTCGATCCCTTACCACAAGATGTTATAATACAATTTATTACAAGCATTGATCCAGAAAAATCTGCAGAAGATGTCTGTCTTCAATTAAAGCATTGTTCCTTATTCCTTCAAACGGAAAACAACGACATCCGCCTACACAGCGTTGTACACGAAGCCATCATAAATTATTCATCGCAGACCTTTGGCTGTAAACAAAACGAAAACAATTCTAAAGAGTCTGCAGCTGATCTTGCCTGTCAAGTTGCTTGGGCACTAAATCATTTCAAAGACAGAGAAGATGAAATCAAAACAATTCCACATCTATTTAAATTCATAACAAATTCATCATTTCAACATTTCCTAAATAAGTTGATCGATGTAAAATCAAAACAAAAACTTGATGAAAGAAATTGGGAATTTGCCAAATATTTTGTAGATGTTTTGGAAAGATTTTGCAACTATAAACTTGCAACTAAAGTACTTTATGAAATAACAGAAATTCAAACTAAACTGTTAGGTGTTGATCATATTGATGTTTCATATTCGTACAACAAGCTGGGTTCATTGCTTTTGAAGAATGGAGAGTATGAAAATGCTAAATATTTTCACGAGCGAGCAATGGAAATTCAAACAAAAACATTTGGACCTGACCATGTTAATATTGCGTCAACGTACAACAATCTGGGTTCGGTTTACTTTAATATGGGAGAGTACGAAAAAGCAAAAGATTTTTATGAACGAGCGATGAAATTCGAACAAAAACATTTGGACCTGACCATGTTAATATTGCGAAAACGTACAACAATCTGGGTTCGGTTTATATTCAAATGGGAGAGTACGAAAAAGCAAAAGATCTTTATGAACGAGCGATAGAAATTGAAACGAAAACATTTGGACCTGACCATGTTAATATTGCGACAACGTACAACAATCTGGGTTCGGTTTACAATAAAATGGGAGAGTACGAAAAAGCAAAAGATTTTTATGAACGAGCGATGAAAATTCAAACAAAAACATTTGGACCTGACCATGTTAATATTGCGACAACGTACAACAATCTGGGTTCGGTTTACAAAATGGGAGAGTACGAAAAAGCAAAAGATTTTTATGAACGAGCGATAGAAATTGAAACGAAAGCATTTGGACCTGACCATGTTAATATTGCGACAACGTACAACAATCTGGGTTTGGTTTACAATAATATGGGAGAGTACGAAAAAGCAAAAGATTTTTATGAACGAGCGATGAAAATTCAAACAAAAACATTTGGACCTGACCATGTTAATATTGCGACAACGTACAACAATCTGGGTTTGGTTTACAATAATATGGGAGAGTACGAAAAAGCAAAAGATTTTTATGAACGAGCGATGAAATTCAAACAAAAACATTTGGACCTGACCATGTTAATATTGCGTCAACGTACAACAATCTGGGTTTGGTTTACAAAGAAATGGGAGAGTACGAAAAAGCAAAAGATTTTTATGAACGAGCGATAGAAATTGAAACGAAAGCATTTGGACCTGACCATGTTAATATTGCGAAAACGTACAAAAATCTGGGTTTGGTTTACAATAATATGGGAGAGTACGAAAAAGCAAAAGATTTTTATGAACGAGCGATGAAATTCAAACAAAAACATTTGGACCTGACCATGTTAATATTGCGAAAACGTACAAAAATCTGGGTTTGGTTTACAATAATATGGGAGAGTACGAAAAAGCAAAAGATTTTTATGAACGAGCGATGAAAATTAAAACGAAAATATTTGGACCTTAACATGTACTGCAATAATATACAACAATCTTCATTTGGTTATAAACAAACTATAGACATTGAAACGGAAGCATTTGGACTTCTATTTATCGTTTATTTGCTAGAAGTTAAAATACTCCTGTCTTTGAGAAAACGTACAAGGAGATAGAAGAAGAGGAAATGAATTTGTAGCTCATTTTAATGAAGAAGAAAATCAATTTCTCTTTTCATTTTAGGTATGTCTTCTTTATACTAAAGCTGATTAGAAACAGTTGTATTGTAGATTTCTTTTAACAAAGGTTCAAATAACAAAAGTTGTATATCTATAAAAGGTATAAATATATTATTGACAATATTCAAACATTTGTATTTCAAGTTTTCAACTGTCATTTATTTACTGGAACAGTTTTTATTAAGAAACTTGTATGGAACTATCAAAGTATATTTATGAGTTTAGTTTGCAATATCTAGCTATTCAGAAGTTGTGAAGTTCCTTAAAATGAATGTTGTTGAGTCATTTTCTTGTATAATGAGAGTAAATACTGATCTTACAGCAACCATGATTATGTAACATCCCTTTTTGAAATGCTGAAAAGCCCACAAGATTTGCTTTGCTATATAAGTATGAATACAGTCTTTTCTATATTTATTTCTATTCATTCATATAATTTACAAAATATACTTTCTATTTATGAGAATTGTAGTTGTTTGAAATGGACATGCAGTTATTGTTATTTGATTCAATCATACTTGATTTGGGGACTAACATCTTAATTGTTGTGACAATGTTTGTTTTTTTTACTTTGAAGAAAATATTTATTTAATGATTGATTCAATAATACTTTATTATAGCTTAAATTATAAAGGCAATGTAAAGTAAAAGTAAAAGTTATAAATAACCTGAAGAAGAAAAAGCAGGATATCATTGCCATAGCATTGACAGAAGTGAAAATGACACATTTAAGTGTCTGACTACCAGATTTTAGACTACCAGATTTACTAATATATAAAAAATCCCAGCAGTGGTGCAGGATACTTGTTTATTGAGGTGGGGGGTCACAAATTCATACATGCATGTCTTAATCTGTTGAAAACAATGGATTTCAAAAAAACTTAATGTGGCAGAACATGAATATATGAATATGTGCCTTCTACCAAAAATAAAGAGTCAGCTATGCCATTTATTCCTAAGGCATCTTGAAGAGCTCTGGCATTGTGTGTAACAGTTTGTATTTCATTTTGCAAGGAACTTCTTCTTATTTTTTTACTTGAACATTATTTGAACATTGGAGAAATTGTGTACAAACTATAAAAAGTTTATATTAGGAATATATTTCTAGGGCAACACCCTCCTTTAAAGTATGTATCCATGTTCAGGAGTGAATGACATAACCAGACATTTTTGGCTGTCTTTACAACTGATAAGAACAGTAAATGAGTCATTTCTACTGGTGTCTTTACTACTGATATGGACAGTAATGAGTCATTTTCATTGCTGACATTCATGTCTTGCTTTTGCTATAGTTTATACTTTACATTGCTTTGAAACTGATTCTCCCAGCTACATAAATGATTTTACCACAAAATCACAATACAAAATGTTGTGGTTATCTCTGATCCCAACAAAATCAAATATAAATTAAACATGAGATTTACTACATTTAAATGTAAGCAAAAAAAGAACATTGTCACAACAATTAAGGTGTACATCCCCAACCGTAAATAGAAAGAAATGTTGAATCAAGTAACCAAACTATTGACTTTCTCTCCACACACAATTCTTTTAAATACAAATTAGATTTACCATTTATCACAGTGAACAGAAATTTGTATATTTACACAGCAAAGCCAGTGTTTGGGCTTTTTAGAAAACTTACTAAGCACAATAAACTTTAAATGTAAATAATGTACATATTAAGATTTTTCTTATTAAACAACAAAAAGAACCAAACAAACACTCCATTTAAACCTTTGCCTACAGAAATTGAAAATACAACTGTTGCTGGTCAGCTAAAGGAGAAAGAAAACATACTCAAAAGCCAGGGCTAACAAAGAATCTTGTTCCTAGAAAAGGAGCTACAAATCCATTCCTTTCTGTAAAGACTAAACACAATAAAAATCCTTTGCTGACAAGCGTTGTGATAGATCTGGCATTGGTGACCACCTGACAACGTAATTTATCTTTATGTATGTTTTAGATAGCGATGTAGCCAAGAAAAATGGGGCTTTTACTCTAATTATATGTGTCTGGCCCATATTTACTGTTGTCATCTCATATGTAGTGTAGTGAGTAACGAAAAAGTAATTGAACAAATAAAAAATTAATTTTTATAGCACTGGTAGACTTGCTATACGCTACGAGTTGTGATGATGTTATTAAAGGACTAAATTCTGATATCTTCCTTTGATTCTTATTTTTTTTATATTCCGTAAATTTTACACGTATTTAATAAAATATAAATTTAAGTTGATTTATTCAAAGGGGAACCCCCACGGTCTGGGGATCTAAGTTCTTGATACAGGGTGTTTCAAAAAAAGGTAATTCACTTTTTACTTGCTGATGTGTGTAAATTAGAATCAAAGGTAATTCACTTTTTACTTGCTGATGTGTGTAAATTACTGAATAAATAACTGTAGTTTTAAATACTTACAAAAAGAGTTCTTGGTTCTAGCTATGGAATGCTATGTTGTTTGTTGTGATTTGGAAGGAAAATGAGTGAAATGCAAGCGCGTTGAAAAATTTTGATCAAAGTCGCAGTCTTTCACCTTTGAGCATTTTTCCATCAACATGAAAGGTGCTTCACTTTGATTTTGCTGGTTTGTTGACTGACTATCACATATTTCATGGTGATGTCTCATTTTTCAACCTTGACAATATTTGAAATTATCTGACATTTACAATTTCCATGATTCAGCAAAAATAGATCCTCAAGGAGCCTTAATTAAACGTAGTTAAATACATAATAAATTAATAACTACATACGTATAATATAGAAGCTACAGTGCATTAAAAATCCCAGTAAAGAAACTTATTTTAATTACATTTATACCTCCTAGCGTGGAGATCAATCATTGCCTCTGAATCATGCAAATTTCAAACTATCGCCTGATTTCAAAGATGACCAGTTCTTTTGAGACATATTGTAAGATATTTTGATTACAAAAAATTTGCAAAGATCATCAAGTGTACGCTCACTATGATGAAATCGATCGAGGTGTTTAACTACGCTGAGAAGCATTTGGAAGAAATAAAGCATAGAGCACTGTTTTACCCGCTGTTAATTAAGTTGTACTAGATTCTACTAATCAAGTTGGCGTAATTTTATTCATCTGTAAAGAAAATGAAATTGTGTAAAGTTACAATAGCTAATTTAAACACCTGAGATAAACTTAACTTTCTCATGAGTTTATTTTGTTGCTGTAAAAATCTTACCATCATAAATCGTTGGTTAAAAGTGACTTGTCTTTCGATCAATTGTCGAGACAAGAATCGTGATCTAAGAAAGAAAAATGCTCAGGAAAACGTTTTAAAACAGCCAAAGGCCAATAAACTGCATTTGACTTGGAGACACTGGAGATTGAAACGTCGCTAAAGAACAAAATCTTTTCATTTCCCATTCATAGCTTGCCATGTAAACGGCCTGGTGGACTCACAATATATATACGTCTTGTAAAATTACTGTCAAAAACGATGAAGGAGGAAAAAGATACTTACCATCTTAATATTTCCTCAGTTATAAAGCAGTTCAGACGAAGTAGAATATCAATTCGTAAATAGCTCAGCCTCAAGGGAATGGTGAACAAAAGCCAAATACGTTTTCATCGTGGTCAATAATCAATTTCTTTATTTATATAAGTCCTCCATCATGGTGAATTAAAACCACCAACATTTGTTCTATGTTTCTCGATCGCATTAACAGAAAAATGTTCATGTCTAAAATAAAGCAAAAAATTAACATTAACAAAAACGAAAACTTTATAAGAAGACGTATATTTAGGTCACACATTTTGCATAAAGATATTAATGTCGTTTACATTTCACACTTCAATCAAAGAGAGAGTTCTCTCCTAACACGAATATCAAAAATCACATTTACCTGAACATGTTATCGAAAAAGTCAAAGATATAATTCGCTTTCGGCAAATATTCTTCGTGTATGTAGGAAGGTAGAGATTTAAATAACGCATTGACAGTTTGAGTTGATCTTAAAATATGCCCCAAGTTGCGGAAAGAGTGTGTTTTCTGATTGGTCAGTTCTTAGGTGTGTACTTAATTCTACATGGTACACAAGTAAAAATGACTTGCTAATTGCATCTCATTTCTTTTTGTTTTTTTTATGAGCGAACGCTTTAATTTTTAAGGTTTGCTGCTTGCGTAAAGCCTGGTTCACATATGACTGAGACATGACTGAGGCATACCTGTGACGAGGCCTGCGTTGTTCTTAAGGCAAATGTAAACACACATCGCTGACACACTAATGGTGTTTCAGACAGTCGTAGGAGTTACCTGCAGTATACCGATGAAATGCCGTAAAAGTTGAGTTGTGTTCAAGTTTCCAGGCATGTCGACGGCTAAACGGCGATGTACGGAACTTATTTTGGTTATTTATGTTAAATGTGAACGTTTCTCAGATTGACCGGCGGCAATATTTCCCATCATGCATTTGGGTAAAAAGATGGTGGGTGAATTTTCATCACAGGACATGGAAGCAAAAAAAGACTGTGGAAAAATTTTAATCACTTTACAATAAAAATAAAAACTTATGGATACAATACGCAACTATCGGGCTATTTATGATAAATCGTGTCCAGAGTACAAAAATCAAAGAGTAAAATACAAATTATTCTCTTTTTTACAAACCGGCTCTTCCATCTTTGATGTATTTTGAAATGACTGTTAAAAGGGTCGCATAATTTGCAAATAGTAACGTTATTTTCAAATTACGAAGCACTATTTTGTCAAATTCAAACTGCAGCTAAATTTTTGTGGTCTATCGGCGATTTGAATTATGTCATTGAAAAGCATCGCAGCTATGCCTCAGGTCTGCCTCAGCCACAAGATCAGAAAGCATCTCAGGTTTGCCCTTAATAATGCCTCAGTCATGTCTCAGTCATATGTGAACCAGGCTTAAATAGAAAGTTCTTTATGTCGTTGTAAGGGTAAGTTTCTTTTCAAACGTCGCATTTTACATGAACCAAATGCATTTAAAACAAAAGAAAATGAGAAAAAATCCTCGATATCTTTTGTTTTAAATGCATTCGGCTCATGTAAAATGATATCGAAAATAATGAGTTACAATGAAACAATGTTAGTGGTCCAAAGACAAAAGAATATTTTATGAATAATAGAGATGACATTGTTTAGTACATCCAAAGAAGTTAAGTCAATTGAGCAAAAAAATATTTCTTGTGATCATTTATGTACATTTATACCTGTATTAGATGGGATTCCTTGACAGAATAGCGAAATGGTGATCCATTATGATCCATTATAAATTACTGGAACTCCAAAACCCTTTAGATTTGTGCTATAAAAATATGAATGCTTAAATAACAAAGTTTAACCATGGCGGCTCAAAAAGTCACTTAAACTGTATAAACCAACGATAACTCGCCCCATTCCACCGTAACAGACCGTGCCCCGCAAACTTTGTATTGATTAATTGTATCTATATTATATATTTAACTAAAAATATATTAATAAATAATAAAAACAAATACATAAATGAATATATAATATAGATACAATTAATCAATACAAAGTTTGCGGGGCACGGTCTGTTACAATGGAATGGGGCGAGTTATCGTTTGTTTATACAATTTAAGTGATTTTTTGGCCTTTGGTTTAACCTCACAAAGTTAAATCTATAACAAATGTGCTTCGCCAAGAAAATGCTCTAGTGAAAATGTGAAATCTCTATTTCATCAAGATTTCAACGATGATAATATACCATCAACGTTTGGTGGTTATATTGTTTACCTCTGACTGACCATAACTTTCTTCAATTGTTTTTTGAAAGTCTCTTAATGTCATTCCATATTCCATATTTGTTTTTAACTTCTCTAGTTTAAACATAACAGGACAATCCAGTGATATACAGCTCAGTTGTTCATCTCTAGCTCCACAACACTGAAAACATATCTACAATATGAAAAAAATTAAATGTCATGAAAAAGACAAACCATAATTATTAGGTTATTTATTATGCATACCTCTTTAAGATGACTGTATTTTCTTTCCCAGTTCCCCACTCTACTTGCCAGAATAAAGACAGACTTTTGAGGGTTGCTACGACAACTTTGACACAAACCGTGCTGTGTTAATTGTTCACATACAGGACAGTGTAGAGTTGTAAAAAACCGAGAAATCGAACGCTAAAATTTGTTCAAATAAATTAATTTAGCTTTTACATCAATTCATGAATGTACTTATGACAACTAACTTTTTGTTTCCTTGCAATAACACGATGTCGAGGGATATAGCGGGGTAGTTGTGTATACCATGAAAACACATCAACACCAATCAAGGAAAAAACTCGATCCAATGGAGGAAGTATTTGTTTCTGAACATAGTAGATGGTATTGAGGCGTAGATTTTTATCATTTAACACATCAATAGGACTGAAGAAAATTAAAACAAGAAGATTGTTTAATGAAGACAATCATATTTATACTAAAGTATTTATTAATAACATTCCAACAGCTTTTGTCATGATACATAACGTAAAATAATGAAAGACAGTAACATTTGAACTTACTCTTTAACCAATTGAATCAATGGTAGTCCAGGACTGCCGTTAACAATGACGTAAGGTACACGTTCTCCCACGCGAGGTTCCGCGCGACGATCACGTGACAAATGACGTCTATACAAAAATAGAAATAGTAAAACTGTAATCATGACAACAATATAAAAAGGATTTTTCATTTCAACAATAAAATGAACCTTGCAATTTCCAAAGCTGGAACACATGCTTTTGGTTTATATCTTTTCATACCACGATATTCCTTAGCAAAGATGAAATCCTGAATCGATACTCTATCTTTCATCATTTTAACAAACTGCCGCTGGACAAACTTCTTCACAAGACTCACGTCTCTTTCTTCAAATAAAATCCTTAAAGACTTTTCTAAAATCTGTTAGAAAAATAAAATCACAGACTGCTTTGAACTAAAAATTACCCCCCCCCCCTGCAGTATCTTGTGTGATTGGATGACACAGTAAATATTGTCGATTGTTCCATACCTTAGCGACCGCTAGACATGTATCTCGCCGTACAGTCTCAATTCTTCTCGCATCAAACACTGGATCTTTCTGTTCTAATGTTTCGTACATATAACCAACGTAACGTTTCTTTGTTTGAAGAACACAAGGCATATATAAATAAAAATCAT